GGGCGAGCGGGCTGTACAAAACCGAGTCTCGGATGAGCCTCATGCCTTAGTTCCGCACACGTGCGAATGTGCCGCATTGGTGTCCCAGGCGCAAATTCCAGACCAGGCTGGTGTATTAATGCAGTCGACGCCTGAGTTGGTCCGGAAAGAACAAGGAACAAGCTGTGTGGTCCTTACGGGTTATCCAAATGCAAGAATAGGGTGATTGATTCCTTTTTATTCGACCACCAAAAAGATCGAACAAATTGCAAGCTTTCCTGGAAGAATTCCACTTCATCAGCCTAAGCGTCAGCGCTTCATGGACAGGGCAGAAAAACTAGACTTAAGAGTCCAAAAGTAGATGACAAAATCCAAAGAAATAAAACCAGACAAAACCACGTGGCACCTTAAAAACTAACTTATGTTTTAATGCGACACATCTGCTTTGTCAGACAAATGGGAGCAGAATGTTGAATGAAACATCAGTTTCATACTAAATATTCATTGGCTCTTGGATGTATGTTATGTTTACATGTGGTAATTAATTATCTATGTTGTTTACGGCTGTGTTGTAAAATTCTTCACCAAACAGAAAACAAACCCGGCCTGGGCAAAGATGAGGAGAGAGAAAGGAGGGCTGGGGATTGAAGGCTGGGGATTCACTTAAAACTCAAGAGGGAGAGAAAAAGAGAATATTAAATAGAAAGGTGAGAGAAGATGACAGAGGAATCATGTATCTTAATTTATGGAATATTGGCAGTTTTTATCTTTGAGCCTGTGATGAGAGCTTCATGGACAGGGCAGAAAAACTAGACTAGAGTCCAAAAGTAGATGACAAAATCTAAAGAAATAAAACCAGACAAAACCATGTGGCACCTTAAAAACTCATGTTTTAATGCGACACATCTGTTTTGTCAGACAAATGGGAGCAGGATGTATGCTATGTTTACATGTGGTAATTAATGATCTATGTTGTTTGCTTCATGGACAGGGCAGAAAAACTAGACTAGAGTCCAAAAGTAGATGACAAAATCTAAAGAAATAAAACCAGACAAAACCATGTGGCACCTTAAAAACTCATGTTTTAATGCGACACATCTGTTTTGTCAGACAAATGGGAGCAGGATGTATGCTATGTTTACATGTGGTAATTAATGATCTATGTTGTTTGCGGCTGTGTTGTAAAATTCTTCACCAAACAGAAAACAAACCCGGCCTGGGCAAAGATGAGGAGAGAGAAAGGAGGGCTGGGGATTGAAGGCTGGGGATTCACTTAAAACTCAAGAGGGAGAGAAAAAGAGAATATTAAATAGAAAGGTGAGAGAAGATGACAGAGGAATCATGTATCTTAATTTATGGAATATTGGCAGTTTTTATCTTTGAGCCTGTGATGAGAAGATGGGCTTGGTAGTTGTGAAGAAAATAAAGGTGGCAGTAGATAATAGCAGAAGTACTACATTTGGTAATGACTGAAGAAACCTGGGTTTATATTCAATCCATTTGTATGGATGTCTATCATGTATAATTTTTTTATCTCAGCTGTTTCCCTCTGTATTCTTGATTTGTAATCATTCTGTTCTAAAATGGTGACTTTCAGATCTTCCATGGGGTGTCCCGGTAGTCTGAAATGGTAGGAGACAGGTTTCTGTGTATTGTGGTTTCTGATGTCGGATTTGTGACTGTTGGCTCACTTTCACAGAGGACTGTCCTGTTTGTCCTATTAGAATGCCGAGGGGCATTGTTGGCAAAAGATGGAATAGATCGCATTAGCTGAGGAGCAAGTGAAGCTGCCTTTGGGATTGTGTGTGTTTTTGTAATGCCATTACTTGAGCATAGTTGGAATTTTTACGCCAGACTCTTAAGACCAAAGATTTGCCGATTTCTCCGTGATTGCTTCTCACCCACCCCCTTGCCTGCTTCAAAGCACAAAGTTTCTTTTTGGCTGTGTGGCTGGGAAAAACAACAATACAAAGATATAGCAATTCTGACACAAATCAGGGATTATAATTTGGGCTATTCATATTAAGAGATTATTGTTTTAGTGATGGAGTGATTTGAAAGTTTTGTTTGAGGTTCCAAACCAGCACCAAAATTCAAAAGTATCAATTCTTCGGCGGTCAGCCTTCTTTATGGTCCAGCGCTCACTTCCAGACATCGCTACTAGAAAACCATAGCTTTGACTATGCGGGCCTTTGTCAGCAAGATGATGTCTGTGGTTTTTAAGATGCTGTCTAGGTTTGTCATCACTTTCCTCCCAAGAAGCAGGCGTCTTTTAATTTCATGGCCGCTGTTACCATCTGCAGCGATCATGGAGCCCAAGAAATTAAAATCTGCCACTACCTCCATATCTTCCCCTTCTCTTTGCCAGGAGGTGATGGGACCAGTGGCCATGATCTTAGTTTTTTTTGATGTTGAGCTTCAGACCATTTATTGTGCTCTCCTCTTTCACCCTTATTACGAGGTTGTTTAATTCCTCCTCACTTTCTGCCATCAGTGGTATCGTCTACATATCTGAGGTTGTTGGTAAATCTTTCTGGCAGTCGTAATTCTGGCCTGGGATTCATCCAGTCCTGCCTTTCACATGATGTATGTGGTTAGTTTAGTATTTATTATTTCACTAAAAAAATAATGACCAGGATGGCTTAAGAACTTAAAAGAATAACAGTAAAGCCAACTTTAGCTGCAATGTAAAAGCAAGTAAACCAACCAAAAACCATTAAAGGCAAGTAAATATATTAAAACTATTAAAATCAATGAGGGATGTAGTTAAAAGCAATGTAAGAGGGCATCATAAGCCACTTTAAAAAGATGTATTTACTCTTTAAAAGCATATTAGAGTGAAACCAGATTGCAAGTTTGAGTATATTTCATAGGCACACATGAGATAATTGGGTGCATTGGTTTTCAGCGTAGAAAGCTGCCTTGTACTGACTGAATTACTCAGAAGGACTGTTGGTTCATCTAGCTCAGAATTTTCTGGAAACTCTGCCACCTCAGGCCAGGGTTTCAAAGAGGGCTGGCATCTACCTGGGATTTGGTTTTTTGTTTGTTTTTGGTACATATGCACTATAACTGAGTTATAATTTCTTCCTCTCTCATTTCTAGGTCCACACAACAGATTTTCCTGGCAATTATTCTGGATATGAAGATGCATGGGATAAAAAGAAGTTTGAAAAGGTGAGTGTTTAGAGGACTGCTTCCTGTCAGGAACTTAAGGTGCCTAACTTGCTTCTGCTCTTGGTAAGGTCGTAAAACCATATTTCCAAGTCTTTTTGTTTTATCCATAGCTTTGTTCAAGCAGTTATGATTGTATAGAAATAAGCTTAGAAATGCCACTGGTATGGTGGGGCAATGGCCTAGTCCAACATAAGATGTGCTGTTTAGGTAATTGCACAAAGTCCCATTTTTCAGTTTTCACGCCCAAAAGAAGACTAGAAGACACTGTTGTACAATTGGATTTGGTAACTGTATTGTATTTGGTAGTGTAATTATAGTAAAACATATAGTATTTCCTACTGGTATGGAAAACTTACAGTACATTTTTTTACCCTGACTCCTGGGATCCTTCACCCTATATTAATGTGGACCTAGGGAGTTGGAGTCAAGAAATGTAGCTATTCCAGCCTTTGTATAGACTGAGTAAAAAGGCTCTTGGTTGTGAAGTTTTTTTCTGATATTTAATTCCTTGCCAAATAAGATACTGTTTTATCTAATTCGGGTGCTACACCTATAACCATGTCTCCTTTGAAATTATAGTTTTTCTGGTTTTCTATAGAATTTCCGAGTAGATGTGATCCACATGGATGAAAGCATGCTGGAATTTGACATGGTGGGGATCGATGCAGCTATTGCTAATGCTTTCCGACGCATCTTGCTTGCTGAAGTGAGTAAAAAGGGCCATTTTTGGATGATAGTGTTTGTAGGTTATATTCCTTGATCCAACAGAAGATGATATGGTGGTGGTTTGTTTAGATGGTTAAAAACTGGGTTAGACACATTCCTGGAAGGCAGATTGATATAGTTAAACAGTAGTTAAACAGAGCCTGTATATTTAGAAGTAGCATAAATCTTTGCTCTCAGCATCTGATACTAACAGTGGATGAGATCTGATCCATTCACAACCTAATTGCAAGACCTTCACAGGTATCAAGGTATTTACAGTTACAAATGAGCTACTAGACAATTTGGACCTTGCTGGATCCTATGACTGCTAGTTACATTTCAAATGGGATATGGTAAATTTGCTAATCATGAAATACAGACAAGCTGGTGGTCTAAAGCCTTCACTTGAGTGCCAAGGCTTGGCTGCATTGGAGGCGATGGTACAACAGGCTGCCTTTCCATTGTGCATATAGTATTTTGGCACATAAAGGAAGAATGTATTTTTTGGTTATTTTGTGCTATGGATTTATGGATCATAATCTTTTACAGTGAATGGTCCATTTTGCTATCTCTGTGTACACAAGTGTTGGGAATAGCTATTTTTGCTTTGCATATTGGCAGATCACCTTACGTAATAGAATGTTTGAGGGCACTTGTTAACGGCTTACATGGAGCTACAGTACGTGGCCTTCTTTGCATGTCTGTGAGTTGGGCACCTCTGGGTCAGGACCAAAGATTTCCAGGCATTGTCAACTGCTGATAAATTAATGAGTCAGAGAATTTGTTTCCAGAATTATGTTTGTAAAAGTACAGAGCTGCAGAAACAAGAAATCTTTGTTCTATTTTATAAGCTACAAATGAATTCTAGTTACAACTGCAGTCTCTTGTTTGCTGCTCAGTAATAATACCAGTAAAATCAGTATGTAGGGGCAGCCATGAAAGAACTAGAAAAGATCCTCAAAGGTAAGACTGTGTTGCTAGAGATCCAAGGCCAAGATCATCCATACCGTGGTTGAGTATTTGTAGGTTTGGCAGCTGGACAACGAAGAAAGCTCGCGTGGGGAAAGTCAATTCATTTGAAATGTAGTCTTGCAGGAGAACTTTATGGATATCATGGATTGCCATTAGAACAGATAAGTAGGTACTATATCAAACTGCCTGAACTGTTTCTAGAAGGAAAATGACTAAACTGAGGCTATATTTTGGGCATATTGAGCAAAGACAACATTTTCCAAAGTGGAAAATGCAAACACTGAAGATAGCAAGAAGAGAGGAAAAACAAATATGAGGTGGATCGACTCAATAAAGGAAGTCATAGCCTTGAGTTTGAAAGACATGAGTGAATAAGACATTTTGGAGATCACCAACTCATGGGGTTGCCAGAGGTTGAACTTCATGGCACACAACAACAAAACCTGTGGCAACTTTCTGTTTTAGCTCTTTTTTAAGGCATGGTATGAACAAATGTTGTTAGCTGCCCAGAGTAGACTTCAGTCTAGATGGGCGGGATATAAATTAAATAAATAAATAATAAACAAATGGCAGTGGACAATCAGATGTGACTGCTTGTGGAACTTGGGGTTTTTGATTCTCTTTTAAACAATGGGGTTTATTCTTGCCTAGGTACCGACCATGGCTGTTGAGAAGGTCTTTGTGTACAATAACACCTCCATTGTGCAGGATGAAATCTTGGCTCATCGCTTGGGACTGATTCCCATCCGTGCAGATCCTCGTCTTTTTGAATACAAAAGTGAAGGTGAGATGTTTGTGGGGCACAGAAGCTGACTCCAACAAGCTAAGCACTTGAAAGTACATGTATCCAGGGAAAGCAAAGGTTGCTTGGGGAGGCTTCAGTCCTATTTTCTTTTTTACAGAAGATGAATGTGATGAAATTAACACACTGCAATTCCAGTTGAAAATAAAGTGTAGCAGGAACCCACATGCTGCTAAGGAGTCATCTGACCCTAATGAACTCTATATCAACCATAAAGGTAAAATACCTGCTTTAGAGCGAATGCTTCCTAATCTACTGTATTTCAAACCCTGATCTTTTTTACCTTGATAGGCACTCATGTTCCAAACATTTTAATCCCTCTTCCCCGTTAATTACTTCGTGCCTGTACCCCTGCCTCCATTCTGTAAAACCTTTCTTTCCTTGCCTTGGTGCCAGAATTGATTCTGATAGCTGCCTGATGAAAACGCTGCCGCTTCTTTGTCCTTCTTCTCTTTTCACAGTTTATAGCAAGCACATGGAATGGGTGCCACTGGGGTCTCAGGCTGACAACATGAGTGCTAGCTTCCGTCCTGTCCATGATGACATCCTTATTGCTCAGTTGCGACCAGGCCAAGAGATTGATGTACTTATGCACTGTGTAAAGGGCATAGGTGAGGCAGCTGGCAATTTAACATTTTGGGAATGTGGGGCCAAAGAACATCAGGATTTTATATTTGGCTAGTATTTGCCCCAACATAGGCAAGCCAAATCAATACGGATTTTAACTAGGATCCTTTATTTAAGGATGATATCGTGTCAGTGGAACAGGCATTCTGGGTTGTTCTATTGTAGTTTCTCTTTGCTTTATCGAACAGGGTTACCACTGGTCTGGGATGGCTGGTAATTCTGACATTGTCCTATTTAAAGGTCTGTCTGTGCTCATTTCTTTTTGGTAAAGTCCGGCCAGTGTCAGCGTTTGATGGTCATGAAAACAACTTATTTGTGTACAATCAAGTTGATATATTGGTCTGCTTGTTGTTAATAGTTGCTGTTTTAAAATAGTAGAAGTCCTTTTGTCAGCCAAGAAAAAAACAAAACAAAACCATTGTGAGGCTTAGGGTATATTTCCTGTGATAAGCAGAGCATAGTTTCTCCTTCTTTACATCCGTTGTCCTTTCACCCTTAACATATGTAAACATGGTTTGTTTTGGGTTCTAAATGGCATGGAAGTAGTAATCAAACTTTGTTGCCAGACATGTGTGTGTCAGAAATTACATTGTCCTGATAACTTACCTCACCCATAATTGCCGTATGGATTAGAAACCTCATAATAGTTAGCAAAAAAATTGTAGCTTAAATTAATGGATTTGTTGAGATCTTCCAGAAGACAGATGAAGGAGTCTCTAGATGCCTGCACTGTGGTTCATGTGTTCAGAGTCATTTTGAACATTTTACTATCTATTCCTATCATGTCTAATGTGAAGCAAAGAAAATTTGCAGTTTTAGGCAGAGTAAGAAATATGTTTCCTTTGTGTTGTAAATTCTGATGTGTAGGTATTAAAGTACCTACATAATTAAACCTTGTGTTATATAGGCCATTAAAATACAGTACATATATATTAATGATCTGTTTGGGGTAATGCAACTGATCTTCATTATTCTTAGAGTATGCCCCCCCAAAAAACAAAAACCTTGCATGATTCTAGCTTTCTCTCACTGTCTTCTCTTCTTTGTTTTCATTTCATTTTTCTAATTTTTTAAAAAAATAAAACAATTCTTTCTTCCTTTAGGTAAAGATCATGCCAAGTTTTCTCCAGTAGCCACAGCCAGCTACCGACTATTGCCAGATATTACTCTGTTGCAGCCAATTGAAGGCGAAGCAGCTGAAAGGCTAAAAAAATGCTTTTCTTCTGGAGTTATTGAAGTCCAGGAAGTCAAAGGTATTTTATATTTCCTTTCATTAGACTAAAAACCTAGCTCATAGGTGGCGAACCTATGGCACGTGTACCACAGCTGGCACACGGAGCCCTTTCTGCCAGCACACGAGCCATAATTCGCCAGATTGCTCTCCCCCCCCCCCCGCCGCCAAATTGAGACGTCGGCTGCAGCCGCGATGCTGGCACTTCGGCAGGTGGATCCGGAGCAGCTGGCGCTGGCAGTGGATCCGGAGTGGGGTCTTGAGGCACCTCTGTGCTGGGATAACCCCTTCCGCTGCCACTTCCGGTTCCGCCACCCACCCACTGTTTTTGTTTTTTCCAGTTTGGGCATGTGAGCCCAGAAAGGTTCACCACCACTGACCTAGCTTTTTGATTACTCCACACAACCCGACATTGCTGGCTTCATAGCATTTCAGAATACTTTCTTTATCTGGCCATCAAAAGGTTGCTAGAATGCCTGATCTCAGCTTGTGAAAACTATTGAGATGTTGTTTTGTTCCACACATGGTACAAGGAATTAGATTCTGAAAAAAGAACTTGAACAAACATATATATGTACAAAAAGGCAGGCTGATCAAGCTTTCATGAGGTCCTCGGTTAGTGAGCGAAGATTGTTCTGGCACTACTGTGCAGACGTTCAAGTGATTTCTCTGGGATCTTGTTCTCATGAAATGTCTTGAATTTGGGAGTGCACCGCTGACAAGAAAAGGATAATAAATCAGCGATAGGTAAGAAAGGTCCAGTGCATGTTTGCCTGCTTCAAGTGTTGGTCTCTTTGTCTAGGTAAAAAAGTGGCAAGAGTGGCTAATGCTCGATTGGACACATTCAGTAGAGAAATTTTTCGTCATGATGACTTGAAAAGCCTTGTCCGCTTAGCCCGAGTCCGCGATCATTACATCTGTAAGTAACCCTTCAGCCACTTCTGCTGCTGCCTTATTCTGTCTTGTTGCTGTGGGAAGGTATTTAGCTGTCTGTCCTTTGCATGGCTGCTCATCTCCTGTTTGCAAAGTTGGTTGTATAACTGATGACCAGTAAGCCAAAAAAACTGCTTTGGGATTGCCTTTACGCATGTGGCTTCCCACAGTAGGATTTTGGCTATGGTTTTGTTGGCACCTAGTGAGGAATTAGCTACTAGCGACCATACACATCCTGGCAGTAGGGTTTGTGCTTTTTGGTTAATGTTCATGGGGGCTACTTGGGAAATGATACTGTTTTGTCGTCCCCAGTTTCTGTGGAGTCAACAGGTGTCTTGCCTCCAGATGTGTTGGTGAGTGAAGCAATCAAGGTACTGATGGGAAAATGTCAGCGCTTCTTAGACGAACTGAAATCCATCCAGAAAAAATAAAGCTAAGAGCACAAGGATCTATTTTGCTGAAATGTCTGCAAGCTCTGTACTGAGCAGGAAGCCTCTAATGAGATGCCTGTCAGTTGGCAGTGAGTAAACTAGCTCTCCAACAGATGTGGGAGAATGGAACGGATTCTTGTGTACTTGCCACTTTTTTACTTCTAAGATAATGACTGAAAGGCAGAGATACGATACAGTGCCAATGCACTGCATTTTGCAAAGACCAAAACGTACAAGTGGGCGAGTCAACATCATCCCTGGACAAATGCTCCAGAAAAGGTTTAAGATGTTTGTATATGAGAGTGTAGACTGGCAAGACCTTTCAGAACCTTTTATGTTACCTTCCTAATTTTGTCTTGAGGACTATATCAAAAAGCTATACTAAAAACCAAGCTCTTTAATGATCTGTCATGTAATAACTCAAAATTAAGATAACTGACACTATCTACTGCCTGGATAATCTCAAGGTGCCACACAATAATATCTAATGCTAATAAATATGATCTTCCATCCAGTTCAACAGTGGGATTTTTTCACCAAAAATGCAGTGTATAGGTTTGCATTCCTGCTCCTGCTTACTAAGGAGAAGAAATTTATTTTATGTTCTTTCAAGTACTGTATATAGATATTTCCCTTCAAGAAGACGGGAATAAGAGAAATGGTAATTATGTCTGCTTTGATAGCCATAAATATTGTGAAATATCTGTGTATTATCTGCCTAAGCTGCATACATTTCTTTAAAAATTTGCTCTCCATTATCTTGTTTGCACAGTTTCACCAGTGTTTTTGATAATATTGTTTTTTTCTTCCAATTTGAGAAAAACCAGGCTGCCTGTGCAGATTCTTATAACATTTCAATTATTTTTAGTCCTTTGTTTTTCTGGGCAGGTTACTAATATTCATGTTTGCCTACTAATGTGATAGCTTATCCCTATACAGTACTCCTACTGTACATTTGCTAGCCATGAAAATACTGTATTTTTCCATTTATAAGACACACCCCTTTTTCTAACCCCAAAATTAAGAAAACCTAGTTTTGAGTATTCAGCTTCTGGGCCCAGAACGCTTGGACATTACAAGTCTCTGTTGAATTTGAGTCTACAGGCTGCACCTCCAATGAGCTGTATTCCAATTAGTTTGTTTAGCATCAGCTGACGTCAATTCCATAAGGATCGTGATTGGAGGAAACCAAGTCTCCTGACGGTAGGAGGCTAAGCCTCTTGACTGAAGGAAGCCTGTTTACAGAGGCAAGGTACTGGCCATTTTGTTCTCTCCATGTTCTCAGCTTACTTTTGTGAGTAAGATGCCCCTCAGTTTTTAGTGTAATGATTTTAGGAAAAAGTAGTGTCTTATACACAGAAAACTACGGTACTTTTGTTTCGGAAGGCAGCAATGAGAGTTAACCCATTCCTAGATGGGTCCGTCCTTGTAGATAGGAAATCCTGCTTCACTTTAGCCTGAGGTGAGTTCTGTAGTGGCTAATTCCAGTGTAATCAATTGTGCAATCAATTTCATTCCTTTTGAAAAGGCTGGTCTTTAAGTAATGGAAAACAGTCATCTCACAAAAAGCAAACTAAAAGAAGTGCTCCACATGCTCTTCTGTGATAAGCAACAGTTATTTTTCATCCTTGTTAGGTTCAACTGGTCTTGGCAGCTGAACTGTTCCACCCTCCACCCCTTACAGACTAGAGCTCTCTTAATCACTGACCATTAGGCATGCTGGGGATTAGATATCCCAAGGCTTCAAGGGATGGGGCTCTTTTAAATAATCTGTCCTTTACCATTCTCTGTGAACGTTTCTCAGAGATTTGAAGTTGCTTTGCTTCTCTCTCTTCTACCCCAAATACTCTACTTTTGCAAATACTTCAGTAAATTGCCAAATCAGGATTAATTCTTTCTAAATTTAGTCCCTCATTTCTGCAGTGGAAACTTTTCAGATAAATGCTAGGTAGGAACTTAATAAAATTGTTCAGGCATACAAAATAACTGTGCTTTAAGAAACATGGACATGACTCTTTTCTGTGTTGCGAAGACAATCTGAAAGGAAAAGATTGTTGATATGCTTGACTGAGCCAGGTAGCCTTCTAAGGCTTCTGTTGACTGTGGAGAAGTAGAGGGGATATCAACAGTGCATGTTAACAGGTGTTTTAAATTGTAAAATGGAACAGTGTTTTTTTTAAGTAATGGGCTGTCAAGTCTCCTCTGACTTATATGAATAAGTGATCTCCAATATGTCCTGGCTTCAGCAGCCCTGCTTAGCCTGTGGCTTCCTTCAGGAAGTCATTTCATTTCATATTTGATCTTCCTCTTTTCATGCTGCCTTCAGTCTTTCCCTGCATTTTTGTCTTTTTCAGAAAATCCTGCTTTATCATGATGTGCCCAAAGTAGTATAGCCTTGCTTTCAACATTTTTGCCTCCAGATATACTCCAGGCTTGATTTGATCTTCATCTTTCTGGCCATCCAGGGTATCTGCAAAGCTTTCCTCCTGCAGCACCACATTTTAAACAAACCACTTCTCTCCCCCGCCCCCCCCCCCCCCCCCGGTCAGCTTTCTTAACTGTGCCGCTTTCACAACCATATATGGTGAATGGAAATACAAAAGTGTGGATGATCTTGGTCTTGGTCTCCAATTACACATCCTTGATGATCTTTTCTAATTTCTTCATTGCTGCCCTCCCAAGGAGTTTTCTTTTGAGTTTTGGTTGAAGTCTGTGTTTGGATGGATGATTGAATCAAGATATACAAAATCTCTTAACTATTTCAGTTTCTTCTTCAGTGTTAAAGTTGTGTAGGTCTTCCATAGTCATGATTTTGCCATCTTAACATTCAGCTGCTTTCCTGCTTTGGCACTTTTTTCTTTCACTTTCCTTAGTCATTGTTGCATTCTGCCAGTAAAGTGTTATCTGCATATCCTAAATTGTAATTTAATTAAATATAAATGAAAATATAACTATTGATGTTTCTTCCACCAATTTTCACACCTCTTCCATTAGGATCTAGTCTGGCTTTCTGTGTGGTATGTTTTATGTACAGATAAGGGGACAAAATGTACCCTTGTCTGACACCTTTGCCTATAGGAAACTATTCTGTTCTCATCGTAGCTTCTTGTCCTCAGTACAGGTTAAGTACTGAAGCACACCCATTTCTTTCAGAACTCAAAATTTTCTCATGATGGGTTGCCAGACATCCAGCAAAAGGAGGACATGTCCTCCTTTTTAGCCTAATGTCCTTTGTCTGGCAGGCAAAGCTAAAAACCTTTAAAACGTCTGGCTTTTGTAATATTTTACGTTATAATTTTGGATAGGAAGGGGAGAGGTGGAAGGTGGAAAGCAGTCTGTCTGATGGAGTCACAATCTAAGACACCACTTCGGGCTGTAAATCAACCATGCCCACATGGAATCATTGCTTCTGGAGGTGACTTCCTGCTTCTGCTGAGCAAGCTGCGTGTGAAGATTAGCAAGGAAAGGAGAGAGAGAGACACACACACACACACACACACACACACACGAGTGAGAGGGAACGGACCAAAAAAAAGACGAGAGAGAGCGGTGGCTGGAGAAGGGCAGGATTTTTTTTAGGGGGAAAAAAGTTTGTGGGTTTCATATCCTAAATTGTAATTTAATTAAATATAAATGAAAATATAACTATTGATGTTTCTTCCACCAATTTTCACACCTCTTCCATTAGGATCTAGTCTGGCTTTCTGTGTGGTATGTTTTATGTACAGATAAGGGGACAAAATGTACCCTTGTCTGACACCTTTGCCTATAGGAAACTATTCTGTTCTCATCGTAGCTTCTTGTCCTCAGTACAGGTTAAGTACTGAAGCACACCCATTTCTTTCAGAACTCAAAATTTTCTCATGATGGGTTGCCAGACATCCAGCAAAAGGAGGACATGTCCTCCTTTTTAGCCTAATGTCCTTTGTCTGGCAGGCAAAGCTAAAAACCTTTAAAACGTCTGGCTTTTGTAATATTTTACGTTATAATTTTGGATAGGAAGGGGAGAGGTGGAAGGTGGAAAGCAGTCTGTCTGATGGAGTCACAATCTAAGACACCACTTCGGGCTGTAAATCAACCATGCCCACATGGAATCATTGCTTCTGGAGGTGACTTCCTGCTTCTGCTGAGCAAGCTGCGTGTAAAGATTAGCAAGGAAAGGAGAGAGAGAGACACACACACACACACACACACACACACGAGT